ATGATTAAACGCATAAGAAAAAAATAAAAAAATTATTATAATTAATTAATTATTTAATATTATTATTATTATTATTATTATTATTATTATTTTCACTTCGTTTAATAATTTTTCCCCAACGACATCACTCACATATTTATTTATTATTATTATTATTATTTGCCTAATAATCACATAATCACACACGTTAATTTAATTAACAACAACAACAAAAACATTCAATTATTATTTTACAAATTTTCCATAAGGGGGCCCACGTATAAAAAAAATTTTCTTTACAATTTACAAATTTTTGTTTGTATTCATTTTCACCGTTAAAAAATAATAATAATAATGATAATAATCAAGCTTTCAATTTTACTCTTTAGTTATAATAATAATAATAATAATAATATAAATGCTAAAATCGTTTCGTAAAAAAAAAAAAAAAAAATCCTAAAAATTTTGTCTTTATTTTCATTTCAATAATCACTTTACTTTTCGAAAACAAAACAAAACATGCACAGAAACCTTTTGTTAAACCTGAGAATGATAATAATAATAATAATGATAATAATAATAGCAAAAACGCCATCAACGAGTAGATATTAAAAATTGAAAACTTGACTTCTTTTTATTTTTTTTTAAAAAAAAAAACTAAAAAAGCAGGTACAAAAAAATATTAAAAAAAAAAAAAAATTAGTTATTATTATTATTATTATGACTACTGACTGGAATACTGCAATACTCATACGCACTCACGCACGCATTTCTTATAAAAATTTACACTCGTACACACACATCATCTATTTATATATATATATATATGTATATTTTTTTTTTTTTTCGATTTTTGACAATGAAGGCTTTGCTTATAATTAAGTATAAAAATTTAATACATAAAAAAAAAAAAATAATAATAATTATAATAATAATAATAATAAATAAATAAAATCCCTAAAATAAACGAATAAATTATTTTTTTTTTTTTTTGGTCCCGGGACCGTCCTAATAAAAAAAACGCGAACGCGAACGCGAATAATAATAATAATAATATTATTACATAATAAAATAAAAAATTACGAAATTATTATTATTTTCAACGAATATTTATATATATATATATATATATATATATATATATATATATATATATATATATATATATATATATATATATATATATTTACCGATACCGGAAAACTCGCAAATTTTCCCCCCCCTCTTTCATTATTACAATACTAATAAAGTATTAACAAAATTATAAACATTTGACATTTCACAAATAATAATAATAATAATAATAATAATAATAATAAATACAATAATAATAATAAAAAACACCTTTATAATTACATATTATACCCGATCATCATTTTCTTTAAATTTATAAAAGTTATACAAACTTTTTAATGAATAATTTTGACAAGTGATGATAATAATAATAATAATAATAAATCAAATTCAGTATGATTTAAATGCCAAATGATATCATTACAACACCCGCAAAATTAATTATATCTATCATTCATTCATTCATTCATTCATTCATTCACTTTTTAAATGCTAAATATTAGAGTCGCCCCAATTTTATTCTTTTATATATATATATATGTAATTTTTCCACGGCACTAAAAGTCATCACAATTTTATAATAATAATAATAATAATAACAACAATAATTATAATTATACAAAAAACAATGAGGAATTAGTAATAATAATAATAATAAAGGATCGTCGGAGTGGGAACCTAAAAAAATTAATTAGGATTCATTTAAAGGAATCAAGGATTCAGAAGTCCCCAATACATCATCAAGAGCACGCCACTGCTCCTACTATACCTTCTTTTGTTTTTACATAATAATAATAATACATAAAACTAATAATAATAATAATAATAATAATAATAATAATGATATTCGAATGCTTTGTAAATTTAACTCTCATATTAAACCATTTCCTATCGTTATATATATATATATAAATATATACGCAAGTATATAATAATGTATAAAACTTATAATTGAAATAATAGAGCTAAATGTTTTTAAAACTAAAGAGAAAAAAAAAAAAAAAAAGCGTTGAATCATTAATTAGTATATAAAGACCAAAAAAAAAAAAATTTAGTAAATTACATTAAATATTATTAATATACATAATATATATATATATATATATATATATATAATATTTGAGCGTGCTTTTTTTTTTTTTTTTTTTTAAAAATTGCGTGTGTAATTGATTGTAAATTAATTATTACTAATTGATTCTCATAATGCACGGTTACAAAAAAAAAAAAAAAAAAAAAAAAAAAAAGGCAGTAAAAATTACATTAGCTAGAATAGAATAGAATATATGAATTCGATAAAAAAAAAATATTAATAATAATAATAATAATAAATAAATAAATATTTTGCCCAAAAAAAAAAAAAAAAACAACACTGGAATACAATTTGTAAGCTTTGTTAAATTTTCCACACAATTATTATTAATAATATTATTATTATTATTTATGATTTGATTATTAGAAATATAATAATAATAATAATAATAATAATAATAATAATAATAATAATAACTCGGGGGGAAAAAAAAAAAATTCTAAACGCGGTAAATTAATTAATTGATTGATCGCTTACAAATTTTAACCAATCGTTTCAATTTTTTTTTTCTTTTTTTTTTTACCGTTCAAAAAAAAATTATTATTATTATTATTATTATTATTATTACACAGTGAAATCGCGGGACTCGTTAAATTAATTTAAAAACATTTTTTTGTATGAAAATTTTCAGTCTTAAAATCAATTTCAAGCAATTTTTTTTCTTTCTTTTTTTTTTTCACTGCTCTATATATATTTATATATATTTTAAGACTTTTCGGATAAGTTGTTAAAATTATAATAATTAGATAGGCGCGATTTAATAACATATCATTTTTTTTTTGTATTTTATACGGGAAACCAACGGAAAACTATTTCAAAATTTTCTTTACGTATACACCGCATACATATTAACTAAAAATCGTAACTGTGTGTGTTATTACATACATGCAATTAAACATAACCTCCTTCCTTTCTTCCTTTCGAAAAAATAATAATAATAATAATAAATAATGAATAGTAACCAGGAATCTTTTCGTAATTGCATCGACAAATTTTTCTTAGTTCAAAAAAAAAAATTAAATTAATTAACCGGAAAAAACCGGTTAACATTGAGCAACCCAAAATAAACAAAATGAAAAAGCAGCAGCAGCAAAAGTTGATACTAAAATATACATACATAGATTTTTTTTTTTTTTTCTTCGATAATTATCTGTCTTTGCAATCGCCATTATTATTTTACCCGTTTTTATTTAATTTTAAAAATTTTACGCGCGAATATAAAAAAAAAATTCATTAAATTAATTATTGCCCGTAACCAAACATTTAGGAGCCCATTAATGATTATTATTAGATATGATTTTCCTTTTAATTAATTAACCGAATTTTCTTTTTTCTTCCCTTCCCCATCCGACTTGATTGATGAAAAAATATTTAAAAAAAAAAACAAATACGACAGACTTAATAAATTAAAAATTACTCTCAGACGTTTAATTAAAATTAATTTTTTTAAATAATTTTTCGTTATGATATAAATATATATATATACGGATTAAATGTGTAGTATCAAAGCCATTAAAAATATTAATTATCAGGCAACTTATTAAAACTTATTAACTTGCCAAAAGAAAATTAAAGAAAAACATTTTAATTTTTCCCTACATTTGTTCTGTTATTATTATTATTTTGTAATAAATAAAATTAACAAATTTTATGTTAAGCATAATCGTAGCAGATTATATATATATATATAAATTCATTCATTCGAAATAATTATTAATTACAAAAAAATTTATAAAAAAAAAAAAAAACACTGAATGAATAAGTAATAATTTTTTTTTTTTTTTTTTACGTTCAAATAACGCTTCTTAATAATTATTTAAAAAAAATTTGTTGTTTTTTTGTTTAAACAATAATTTACAATATTTATAATTATATTTGTTTTTTTTTTTATTACAAAAATTTTAATTAAATCATAACTAATTTGTATTAAATCGTTTTTGATTTGAGTTTTAAAGGCCGGAAAGTATTTATTAATTAATTAATTAATATAGTAAATGAAATAAATTTATTTATATATATATATATATATATATTCACCGAGTTTTTTTATCAAGTAGTAATAAAAAAAAAAAAATTATTATTATTATTATTATTATTATTATTATTAAATTTTTCGAGTTTTATTATACTTTTTCTCTCCTCTATATAAAAAAAAAAAAAAAAATTGGAAACATAATAATTTCTTTGGTTAATGAAATATATATTTCTTCTATTCATCGCATTTAAATCCTTATATATATATGCTTTATATACACACACACACACGCATATATATATATATATATATATATATATATAAATTTTTAATAAAATTAACTTTTTCCATTACGATGAATCAAGTTTAATTATCGCGATTTTTTTACGAGTAACGGTTCATCAAAGATTGTTTGTTCGTCCCTCCCTGCCGGCCCGCCCACCCGCCCTCACCGCGTGCCCATTCGAGAGTTATAATTTTTTGAGGCATCCCCTGTGTTTGGTTTCACCACCCACCACTGCCCCAAAAAAGTGGGTTAATATCGCCCCCCTCCCGCGACGCAATTGCAATCGACAGAAAAAAAGTCATTTTTTTTTTTTTGTTTTGTTTTTGTTTTTTGTTTCCGTTTGTTTGTTTTCATTTTTTTTTTTTTTTTAGCAAGAATAGCCGTTTGTCATTTCTTAAAAGTTGCTTCAAGTTTTCTCAATTTCCTAAAACAAAGTAAAAAAAAAAAAAAATAAGTCAACGGTTAATTTGTTTACACGTGTTGCTTTAACACGTGTGGTGACCGGTGTAATGCACATCACCAACGAATTATTTTCTATTTTCGCTCTTATAACCGAAAGATTAAAAAAAATTTTTGTCATTAACAATACCTTAAATTCAAACTCCGTACATTCCCGACAGCTTTTCTTGAAGTTGAGTAGGAAATTGATCAGAAAAGCGTTTCCAATTTTCTTCGCCGACTTGTATTCGAAAACCGTGCAATATCTAGTACGAAAAGAAAAAAAAAATTTGCTTTAACTTTCCTTTTTTCTCCCCCCCCCCGCCCCCCGCAAGTTTTAAAAACTCCTTCGTATTGTCGATCACGATTTACCTTGCTAAACATTTCTTTTAAATCCGGTTTGGGATTCATCCAACTAGCTACGGCATCGCAAAAAAAAATAAATTCTGGAACAACGCCCGCGGGATTCACTTGAATCATTTGACACATTCCACGAAAAGCACTGTCCTTTTCATCGTTATCCCTGATATTTCGAAGCGACACGCACCTAATAATAATAAAATTAAAATTAAAATTATTGAAAACCTGCGAGAAAGAAAATGGGAGGGAAAAAGAGAGAGAGAGAGAGAAAGAGGGGGGAGGAAAAAAAAAAAAAAAACAAATTTCGAAATTAGGTAAATATTATTATGAATAATTAACGATATTAATGATGACGGCGTCTTCTAACGATTATTTTTTTTCCCGAAGGCTTCTATTATTCGTATTAATTTTTATGTGATAATAATCATAAATAAATTAAAAAAAAAAAAATTAAATTAAATTAAAATATAAAATATACGCGTAACGAATAAACTTAAAAGTTGACGTTCAAATCGTAATAAAAATTAATGTAATAATAATAATAATATTAAAAATTAAAATAAATGAAAAATATAAATAAAAAAAAAATAAAATAAATAAAAAAAAAAAAAAAAAAATACCCCCCACTGTCTCACAAATTGCTGCAAGTGTGGAGCCACTTCAACCGGGCACACATAACCTAGGCGGCCAATGGTTATCGCTAACGGACAAATAATAAGGAACAGAATTAATAATACACACCAATAAAAAAAAAAAAAAAAAAATTAGAAAAAAAAATTAAAAAATTAATTAAATCAATTAAATAAATAATAAACATCAAATCTTTATCCAAACGTGAAAAATAATAATAATAATAATAACAATAATAAATTAATTAATAAATAAATTCTTGGTATTATTCACGTGTATGATAATTAATTGAAAAAAAAAAAAAAAAAAAAAAAAAAAAATACCTGCAAACGTTTTATTAGCTTTACTAAATACTATTTGCAGTTTCAAAAAAAAAAAAAAAATTCTAATTAAATAAAAATTAATAACAACAACAATAATAATAATAATAATAATAATAATAAAACAAATTAACAACAACAACAACAACTCAAATTCATAACCCATGAAAAAATAATAATAATAATTAAAAAAAAAAAAAAATAAATAATTATGTAAAATGAGTTTTTTTTTTTTTTTTTTTTTTGTAATTTTCATCTCATTCACGCCACACATTTAAAAATTAAATAAATTATAATTTGTTTTATAAACTGTAATATATACTATATATATATATAAATAAATAATCAAAATTTGAAAATTGAAAAATTAAAATCAACGTGCAAAAAAAATTTAAATTTTTTTTTTTTTTTTTTTAAATAACTTTTTTAAAGGCTATTCGACAGTAAAAAAAATAAAATTAAATTTTGTATCTCAAAAGTAATTGAACAGCATGATATAAATAAAGTCAATCAATTTGATACTTGTTAAAGAATTACGTAATTAAACCATCTTCATATACTTAAGGGGGGGAAGAAAAAAAGAAAAAAAAAAGATTTGAAAGAAAATCTTATATACCCCTTTCACGTAAAATTTTTTACGGGTGTACGTTTCCTACGGGAAGAATATGTTAATTTTTTTTTTTTTTAAATTATCTCGAATAAAATTGAGTTGTTTTTATTCAGGCAATAAAAATCTTCCGAAAAATAAATATCCCCTATGCGTATTAAATTACCTGTATTTTCTAAAAGGGTTTTCGGAGTGTCCGGTTTATTTATTATCAATATTAACTGATGAAGAACGAGAGGAATGTAGGGCTGAGTTTCAGATCCTTAAAAAAAAAAAAAAAAAAAAGAAAAATAATTTTAGTAATTTTAATAAATTAATCATAAAAAAAAAAAAAAAAAAAAAAAAATCAATAGAAAAAATTAATTTTCAATCACTTACCCAGTTTTATAGAAATTTCTCCTATAGCCCATGTTGCATTATTACATACAGAGATATGTATCGGATCTAAATTTTGACCCAAAATTGGTAAAAAGTTACCTGAAATATCAATTATTATTAATAATATTTGATTTAACTTGAAATGTAATTTTCATGACATTTTTTTTTTTTTTAATATTAATTACCTATACACGGATGCACGTGCTGAAAGCACGCCTTTGTTAAATCGCCGAGGAGAGCAAAAGAACTTTGTCGAACTTCTGGCATGGGATCCTGCATACATTGATACAATAAATGCATAATATTCGAATTCATTACGAGCTTTTCAATGTGGCCGTGTAATCCCTCCGCTAATCCACTTAACAAATCCAAAGCAACTATCATGAAGTCTTTGTCGGGTGGTTCAAATTGATCCGGATGTTGGATACTTGCCTGAAAATTACGTCAGGATTCGTAAATTATTATTATTATTATTATTATTATTTTAACTTTAAGCAGTCATTGTCGCTTTTTCCTATGCTTACTATATGTTGATTTAACGTTTGTTCAACGAGAGAAACGCATCGCCTGTAAACAGGTTCGCAATAGGGGAGAAAACCCGATTGAAGAGCAGTAGCCACACTAGACAAACATTCCAAGAGCGGAAATAAACCTTTGTCTTCGTCTTTTAGCATATTCCATTTGTTTATTAGAGGTGGCATTAACAAGTTAATGTAATCTAAAAAAAATTAATAATTTTTAAAAAATTAGGCAAAATATATATATATAAATTATTCCTTAAATTATCCTCGATTTAATTTTTAAATTTCATTACCAGGTTTATTTAAATGATGACCAACTGAATCGGCCAATGTGCCAATTGCGTCATATAGAATTAGTAAATTTTTATGCTGATATTTACTAAAAGCGAAAACCAGAGTTTCGAGAATATAACCTAAATAGGGTACTAATTCTGTACAAGCTTCTTCCTCGAGTGTGGCAAACGCTGAACAAGCAGCTTCTTGCACTCTTTTGTTAGAATCTAAGACTCTTTTAAGAAGCTGAAACAACATTAATATTTTTTAAAATTTAAAATTTACACGTCGTAATACCCCTTCAACTATTATTACGTACATAATTTACTTAATTAAGTTTAATTAATTAAATAATGATGACATACCTCTCTCATTAACGGCTTAAGGTAACTATCGTGCGGCTGACTAACAACCCAATGTGAGTATCGGCTTAATGTCCAACAAGTTATAGCCCTAACCAATGCTTTAGAATCGGACAAACAGTTTATTAAATATGGAACTAGTTCAGGTAGATGAGGAATAATTCCGTTGACGCAACCTAAAAATTTTCGAAATAAAATGACATATCTAACAAAATTAAGCATTACAAACAAATACGTATGTTGAGAAATGTTTAAAATTAATATTAAAATTACTAAAAATTATTTTAAAATACGAAAAATACGTATATTGTTTCTTTCGAATAAGTCTAACTGTTTAAAAGACTCGTGTTAATATTATTAAGGACAAGCTTGGAAAAAAAAAAACAAACAAAAAAAATTTTTTTTTTTTGTTTTAAAACAAAATAAATAGTTAAAGGTTGATGTGTATTTAATTACAGTGGCCGTAATTGCCTTTTTAAAATAAAATAATTAAAATGTTATGAAAAAAAAAAAAAAAGGAAAATTTTTTATCGTGAATCAAAACTTTAAGAGTATCCAATAAAATTATACTTTTCGAAAAGCTAATCCTAAAAATCCTCATTAACAAAAAAAAAAAAAAAAATTTTTTTAAAAGTTTTTTTTGTGTACCTTCCGCTATTGCTCCTAAAGCCAATATTCCGGATTCTTTAATTTTCCAGTCTTGGTGAAATAAGGTTTCTTTTAAAATAGGTATTAAAACAGGAAGCAACTCTTCCCTAAATACTCCTGCTAGAACATCTAAAGCTGCAGCACTACATTTTCTAAAAATTAATCATTTACAATTTTAAAATAACTTTCGGGTACATTAGTGAAATATTTAGCAAATAAAATTTTACAATGACTAAAAAATTATTCTTTAATACATCTTAAAATAAGTATTAAAATCACAAATGAAATTAACAAAAAAATTACTTGATTTAATACATGTGAGAAGTTAGGCATGGTAGACAAAAAACATTTCAATTTAGCCTCGAGTTTATAAAAAAAAATTGTTTTATAAACAAATTTAGTATGTATGTTATTTTTTTTATTATAAAATAAAGAGTTAAAAATTATGTAAAAGAAAACTGAATATTATCATATTCTTAAACGTTTTTACATTAACTTTATAAATCTAATGACATAAAATATAAAATTTGCATTACTTACCGAAGATTCCAATCAGATATAGAACTATCATCATCATCTAAACCATCATCGTCTTCTCCATCTCCGTCACCATCTGCAGTATGTTCATTTGTGTGAATTTTACTTTTATGAAATCTCGGTTTTATATCTTCATCTCTATCGGGTATCATTTCATCTTCTTCTACATCACCCTAAAATAAATATAAATAACAAAATAATAAGAATTGTTGTTTTCACACATTTAATTAAAAAAAAAAAAAAAAATTGTTTCAAACCTTTAACAAAATAACATCAATTTCACTGTATTTCATTCCTCTAACTAAAATTGGCACAAGAGTGTGAAGGTGAGGTGCTAAAACTTCCCTACAAACTGATTTATCAGCCAGTGAAAGCCAAAATTCACAGGCTTCTACAGCGACATTTTCATCTTGATCTTGCGTGCTCCTCACCATATACTACAATATTACAGATATTTTAACAACTAAATAATAATTGTATATTAGAAATTTAAATTTATAATACTTACGACAACTATTTCATGAAGATGGGGAAGTAATCTATCCATTCTAACATCCAAAAGAGTTACTAAAGCTTTACACAAATTTCTTCTAACTTCTACATCCTCATCCGTTGTCAAAAGGAAAAGATTTTCAAGTAAGGTATCAATATGAGGATTTAAAACCTGAGTTTTGGAAATCATAAACTGATTTACACAGGCAACTGCATGGGATCTAATTTTTGAACTGTTATGTTTAAAAAACTGTATTAACTTTGGTATGAGTAATAAAAGAGGTTTGTTCCAAGTATCATTGTCGAGTAATTCAGCGGAATCTTCACAAATTTTTTGAAGTGCTCCAAAGGCACCTTCACAGGTATTATAATTTTGAGAATCTATCATGTTGCTTAATGTAGGCAACAACTCTGGCCATGCTGACAAATTACCTTTTGAAGCTATTGTTGTGATCAGTATGCCAACTGTTGCACGAAGAAGTGGCGAATCATCTCCGATAGCAGATAAACATTCTTGTTTAATAAAGTTTATTACCTCTGGGAATAATCTGTCATAATGCACTTTGATGTTGTTTTTAAGAATAAGACCGCTAAGGGATCTAGTGGGTTCATCTTCATGTGTTAGTTTAGTAAGCACAAATATTAAATAATTATTAAAATCTGGAAAATTATTCAATTCTTCCAATTTCTGAAGTAAATTAAGTTAAAGAAAATTAAAAACAAAAAAAACTAATGATATTTAAATACATATAGAATCAAAAATAGTACAAATTATTTTAATTGTAAAAAAAAAAAAAAAAAAAAAGTAAATTATTTTCAACAATCTCAACAGATACAGATTAACAATGCTCTACAAAAGTTATTGATACTTAAAACAATGAAATTACATAAATTTTAAAATAATACTTGAGCAATGAAAATAAATATACAAAATTATTTGTCAAATTTTGATTTGAAAAAATATAATACAAATGAATTCTTACTGTTATTAGGCACAATAATGAAAAACATTAGTTTCTAGAACAAACATGAATGATATTGCATTCGTAAGTTTACTCCGGAAACCCATAATATTTATCAAGTAAAAAACTATAAATTAAACAAACAGTTTAATAAAAGGATACTTTTTGCACAGCGTTTTGTACTCTAATATCATGCGATTGCGATTCTTTTAATAATAGTAAAATTTCTCTCAAACCTTCTTCTTGTGGTTGCCACGCCATTTTCATTTCTTTTTTAAGATGGCGGCTTAAATTAGGAAATCGATAGCCGTAGATTAATTTAAAAATAAGTAATGGTAGAATGTCAATTCAAAATATAAATTTTCGCGTCATTATAACTCGAAATGTTTTTTTTCATTTTAAGTTTTAAAAATAAACTAAACTGAAAATTAATTTTTTTTAAAAGTAATTCAATGATTACGATTACTCAGCGAACATACTGATATATATAAAAATTTATACGTAGGCTAAACGTGAGAAAACAAAAAGTCACATGACCCATAACGGTTTCCTTATTTTCACTTTTTTTAAAAAACAGAAAATAAAATATCAGCATGCTGTCGTAGTTTGAATGGTGTGAAAAAAAAAATTACATGACTTACAATTTGACAAAATTTTCAAAGAAACGCGGAAAAAACAGTGGAAGCTACATTGTGTTTGAATAAACGGTGCGTACGCGCAAACGTTTAAGTTTATTTCATCGTTCGCGGTCGACGGTTTACAAGTTTAACGTTAAGTTTGTAATAATGTCGGAAAGATTTCGCGTGACTAAATCCGAAAAATCCGTTTTGTTTCGAAATTACGGAGCAACTGAAGAACCTGACAGTGAAGTACTCACCAAACCTGATGGATCTCAAATTGTCATTGGAAACAACAGGTTACCAGTTAACAAAGAGGAAGATGAAAGGGATACTGGTAGGAAGACTTAAATATCGTGTATGGTCATTGTGATCTTTGGTTTCTTCTTTACTCTTTTTTTTTTTTTTAATCATAATTTCTTATAACTATCACATATTGCCTCATTATTTTATGCATGAAGCTTTTTTTTGTGTGTGTGTGTCTAAGCACCCATATAAGTGTGCATCATTTTTAAATTTCACATTTCCCAAACTACACTCTGATACAAAATTGTCAACCACTATTTTTGCCAACCACTCACTCTTTTAATAATTATTATTTTTATATTTATTTTCTTGCATGTAAAATATTTACTAAATAGTTTTTACTTAGTTATTATTATTATTATTAAAACAAAGAATTATTAACAACAGCAAAAAAAAAAAAAGAAAAAATTTACAAACTCTTTGTTTTTTTTTTTTTTGTTTTAAATGCAGGCACAAATGCTATACATGAAGTTGAAACAATTTGCACAGAAATAAATTTGAATTTTTTTTTTTCTTTTAAGTAAAAAAAATTTCATTTGAAATTTATTTTACTTATATTTTATAAATAGCTAACTTAAATTTGATTTCTTTGTTTTTTTGTTGTTGTTGTTGTTGTGTTGAAACTATAATAATAAAAGGAGGAGAGTGAAATCCCCTTTAACATTCTTAATGGCAACACAATTTTATTTATAGTTTTTTAAGGTTTCTATCAAAATTTTGCCCTTTTGAATTTAGTTCAGAGCTTTTTTTTTTTATTAATTAATTAATTATTACTTTTGTTTTTGCAAAAAAAAACTGCACAACGGTTGTAAATTGTTCCCAAAAAAATCTTTAAAAGAATTAAATTTATCTGTGTGGTAAATTTGATTGATGTATTTATTGCATAAATATGCATATTACTGACGTAATTTTATATAAAAAGATTTATAATTTTTTTACGATTATTATTATTATTATTATTATTATTATTTGTCAAACTGATGGAAATTAATTTGTGGCGCTTGATTTGTTTTTTTTTTTTTTTTGGGGGGGGGGGTGGGGGTGTTGTTTCGAATTAACGCCTTTCGTGTATAAAAAAAATAACAACAATACTCGACACATACTGTTTAACACCTCTTCATATGCAAATTTTTTTTTTGTCAATTTTATTTCGAATTGTTTAAACATTATTTTTGGTTTTTTTGCAAAAAATTATTATTATTATTATTATTATTCGATTGTTTTCATTACATAACGTTGTCGTCGTTTGCTCAAATTCAAGTGGGTTTAAAATTCATTTAAGAAAATCAAGTTTTAATAATTAATTATTATTATTATTATTATTTTTTTACTTAAGCTTGAGCTTTTACGATCTCACGTTATTTTTCATTAATATAATAAAACTTATAGAAAAATGAATAAAATCCCAGTTTATTGTTGTTTGTAAGGCAAAAAAAAAAAAGGTATATCATTATTAATTCTATAAAATTTTGCGTCTTTTCAAATTAATGGGAAAAAGGGAATAAACGATGATGAAAATCAGTGGGGAGTAATAAGAAAAAAAAAAAAAGGGAAAAAAAAGGACTTAATAATTTTTCTCCAAATTTTAAGTAGTTATTTTGCTGACGATGCTGGTTCCCCCCTCCCCATTTTTCCATTTCCGATGGTTAATAATTAAACATTGAATTTTATATTTTAAAATCGTTTAAATATTAAAAAAAAAATTTTGTTATTAATATAGAATCGTATATCGAAATACCTTTAAAAATTTCATTCAGGCACACACTCATTTAAACAAAACTTGCATTTATTTTGTGTGTAGTAGTATATAAAAAAAAGAGCAGAAAAGTAAAATTTAAACAAAAAAAAAAAAAAAAATTTTTTTTTCATTTCGTTTTATTATTATTATTATTATTTTTTTTTTCTACAAAGTTAATAATTTTTTTACGCAAAAAGTTTTTGTGTGTGTTGTGGGTTGTGAAAAATGCCTTTTTTAAATCCCCAGTAAAGTTTTTGTAAACTCTCAGGTCATTTTGCAAAAAAAAAAAAAAAAAAGTAAATGATTGTTTTCGGGGTCAAACGCCACAGAAATTTTTAAGCATTTTCTCTTTATTGTAATTTTTTTTTTTAAAAATAAATACGGTAGCTTTCCCTCTCCCCCCCCCCCCCGCAAATTCCAACAATCAGTTTTTCAAATTGAATTTTCGAACCGGCACTAATCGTGGGATTTAAATGAAAAAAAAAATAAATAAATAAATATATAATATTTTCTTGCATTATATCAGGATTCGGTAAAAGAATTATTATTATTATTATTATTATTATTATTATTATTATTATTATTATTTTTATACTTGCAACAGTAGTAGTAGAGTAGAAAAGAATTTAATTTATTTCGGTTAATACATTTAATTCCGTCCTTGAAAATAATATAACAAGGTTAAGGAGCATGGGGGGAGGCGTCTCCGTGATTGATTACTGCCATTTCTGAGGAAAAGATGAAAAAAAAAAAAAAAAATCAAAAATGATGGCTTTAAATTTAAGAGAACGATGATGAAACAGATGAAAATTTTTTTTTTTTTCATCTTTCATTATTTGATGATATCGGTAGATTAATTAAAATTGCTAATGAAAATAAATTTTCTCAGTCTCTTTGGTACACGGTTACATCATCTGAAATTTTAATTTTTTTTTTTTTTTTTTTATCATTCAAATTAAATATCATTATTATTAAAAGTTTGCAAAAAAAAAAAACTAAAAAAAAATTTTTTTTAACGTGGCAAAACATCATTTTTCCACAATGTGGCATTTATTATTATTATTATTATATGAGATAAAAACCGCATAAAAAAAAATATATAGTGGCAAATTATTATCAATAAAACGTTTGCTATTGTTTTTGTTTTTTCGCGTCGCGGGGGAAAGGGAAGGGAGAGGAGGGGAGGGGGGGTTTTAATTTACTCATTGACACATATATATATAAAAATTTGTTTGTCGCGAAATGTTACTTTATTTTTTTTTTTTTATTATAAATTTAATTAATTATGTTTTGATAGAAATGGGATGTGATCTCTCAAATGAATTATTTAATTCGTCCTTGAAAACAATTTTAATATTATTAATATTATTATTATTATTATTATTATTATTATTATTATTATTATTAAACATTGTTTGTTTGTGTTTGTGACAATTAACTAAACGGATCAATCGAAAACTATTATAATCGCGACACGCACACACACATAATTTTTGATTGTCTAATAAGTTTTTTTTTTTTTTTTAATATGAGCGATCAATGTCAAAATTATTATTATTATTATTATTTAAAAAAAAAAATTTCATCACGGTTCCCTGACTAAACAAAATAAATCAATTTTATTATTATTATTATTATTATGTTGTAAAAGGCGTAGGCTCGTTTTTGGATTTTTTACAAACTAATTTTTTTACTCACAATGTGTATCCGTGGAAAATTTTTTTTTCCCCAAAAAATTCGTTTCGATTTTATTATCATTATTATTATTAATTATCAAGTTTTAATTAGTTATACCCGGTAATTTAAAATTTAAAAAAAATTATTTATTTATTTGCAAGAGGAGTGCTGCTGTATCTTTTCACAAACGGATTTTCCTTTTTGCAAAATATATATTTACAAAGTTATTTATAGAATAATGATAACACAAAATGCCCCGTGCAATAACATAGAAAAGTGTTAAATTATGCAATATAACCTGGTTCGCGTATATAATAAAAAAAAAAAAAAAAATTTAAATGTAAGCATTAATCTGTAAATCCAATAATAATAATAATAATAAAAGTCATTTCAGCTAAATGATTTTAATAAATTTGTCTGTCGATACAATAAATAAATCTATTATTATTATTATTATTATTATTTTGTATTGTCGATATCAATATTTTTATATTAATAATAATAATAATAATAACGATAATTTTCCACCGATTTCATTCGTCGTTAAAAACAACAACAACAATCTAAATTCAAACGATGATTATTTTATTTATTTATTTATTTATTAATAATATTAAAATTTAAATAAACCGAGTAGACGTGTGTGTATATATATAAACATAAAATGCTTTAAATGCATTTACAAATAATTCACAGATTACGAGATTCACACACACACAAAAAAAAAAAAATTTATAAACGTTTTATTGGTTTTACGGTCAAGGTTACACAAATTTTTTTTTTTCAATAGATTAGAGTAGTAGAGTTTTTGATATCAATTTCGATTATCGTGCTCTTCGAATTATCTTAAATAAAATAATAATATTTTTAACGTTTAATAAAATATAAATAATAATAATAATGATAATGAGAGAATTAATTGTACAAAA